TAAGTGAAAAAATGAAAGAATGTGACTGATTTTTGTTCTTCTTCTTCTTTTTTTTTTTTTTGCAAGCATACAGAAATCAGCAATCTATTCAATCAAACTATGTTGTAGTAGTCTACAACTTAGATGAAAAGTACAGAAGTATAATTCAGTTGAAAAATGTGTTTTTTTATTTTTACTCAACAGAATGTAAGTAAGGAGAAAAAACGAGGTTTTTTTAACTTTTGAACTACTGTACATAGGTTTGGGACAAATATACTGCCATCAATTTCCAATCTGCTGTAATCAGGTTACCAAAGCAGTTGGTGAAATTTCGCCAAGTTAAAGAACTTCTTAACGATATCATTAGTTATCTATTGCAAAATTTTATAGATACCTGCAAAATAGATTTATTTATAATTTTTAGAATCAGCAGTCAGCAGTAATTGGTAAAATGAGCTTGTTTATAAATTCTTTTTCAATGTTATTTTTTTTCATCTTAGTGGCACGACATATATCTGTCATCGGTCAAGGTCAAGTGTATGATCTAGAAGACACTTGTAACAAATAATGAATAAAATAGTTCAAATAAGCATATAGAATCAAGCAAAAAAACAAAAGTTAAGAACTAAAAGTTTCTATAACTTTTGTATCTATAAAGGTCGATACTGCAAAACCACGTTCTGAAAAAATGCTTTAATTTTTTATTTCAACACCAAAAAGATTACTTTTTTTTGCACATCGATTCGTTTGGTAATTTTGCCAAATTGAGGTATTATATGTTCTCCCTTTTCTCAAAAAAGTTCGCAAAATAATTAGTCTTTAAAGTATTCACTGTGTACAGTTTACTGCCAAACAGTTATATAATACTTAGGCGGTCAATAAGCTTTTTTATACATTGAAACTGATAACTCAAGAGCATTAAAAAAATATTTAGACAATATGCTGGCACTTTTTTAACTATCTCAAAAAAATTGGTCAAGAACTTAAATTTACAACGTTTTTTCTTCTTTTGGCAAACATTTTCTTTTTATAGCCTTTGTTGTTGGTAAAATGCAGGTGGTACATTACAACCGACAGTTTAGTATATAACCCAGAAACCGAGTTAACACACTTCTTTTGTTCACACTTTATAAGTCAACAAAAATTTTGGTTTTCTGTATAATTTTAAATATATTCGACAGGTTCTAAAATGTCAGCTTTTATATTTTCGTTTTTTCATTTGAAGTCAAACGTTATAACTTTGCTCACCGAAAAGTTTTTCTCGTGTAAACTGTCACTCAAAAACAGACTATGTATTGTTCTAAAAATTTTTTTGGACTTATATGTTATTTTCTTGACGATTAAACTTGATCTTTATGATTGTTTTAGAACTCTGAACCTTGAGGATTCTGAAACCTGCACTGTAATAAACACGTTAGTGAATTGTCTTATTGAAAATCTGTAACTATGCACATGTTTTAGACTTCCTAAATTGTGCTCTGAAGATCTATAAGTCTACCAATAAAAATTGGAATGTTTTCGGCGGCCAGTCGTTAGACTTCTGTTCCCCTTCCTACACTGTCGAGTTAAACTCTATTTGGATCTTCATCTGCTCTTTGTCAAATTCTTTAGAACACATTCGGTAAATTATCTAAAAATTTGTTCTTACACCATTATCGCCTTGTTTAGGCATTTAGAAATTTTAA